GGGGGGGTGTTCTAGTACCTCCCACCCCAATTCTGATATTGTATCGAGCGTGAGACGCGCGGTATGAGGGCGCGCGTTATCCTGGAGAAGAATCGCACTTCGCGCTGGAATGCTCCTCCGTTTCGAGCGATAAGCGGGTTTCACGTGTGTTTTCAGAAGGTTAGAGTAGTATGCAGCATTGATGGAACGTTGTGTGCGCAGGAAGTCAACGTACAGCACTCCCCGCCGGTCCCAGAATACAGTACACATAACCTTACCCGCGGACCTGGTTGTCTTCGCTTTGACTGGCGCCCCTTCCTCCTTCTTCCTCCACTCTTTAGACGACACCTTGCTTTCGGGAGTGTAATAGTGTACCCATGTTTCGTCTGTAGTGAAGATTCGCGTTAAAAAACCGTCCCCCTCAGCCTCGTATCGCGTCAGCAAGCGGCGACAAACTTCCAACCGCATGAATTTTTGCTTGAAGTTCAACAGTTTGGGAACCCATCGCGCCGTTATTTTGCGATATTGAAGGTGTTCGTGGATGATAGACTCTACACTACCAATACTAATGCCGAGTTCAGCCGAAATGTTTCGAACATTCATCCTACGGTCCTCCAAAATGAGTTGTTCTACGCGGCGAATGTTGTCTGGTGTGATGCCGGTTCGCGGTCGACGATCATGCGGCTCATTCTCGACGGTTTCGCGGCCATCTTTGAACGCTTTGGCCCATTTAAACACAGCAGACCTACTCAGGCACTCACTACCGAACTGATTTCGCCATCGCCGAAGAATTTCCGTGTTTTTAACGCCTTCCCACACCAAAAAACGAATGACAATACGTTGCGCAACGGCGGTCGGCACTTGACGTTCACTCATGGTCGTATCACGCGCGTGAAACGTGCGTTCGCGACGAAAACTATGCCACACTGTTCGTAAGGGACCCAGCTATCACATACTCAAGCCGCGACCTTCAAAACATACAGGCGCGCCATCTACAGCGTTTGTCTCGATCATATTTGAACCGCCCTCGTACTTTGGCATATTAATAGTGTCATTAAAAGATGGCTGGTATTGTATTTGACGATAATCGGTGCAAGGATTCAGTTTATATGTATATATCTTTTTAAAAATAACATATTTTTTCATAAATTTTATTGATACTCACCGATCACAAATGTGCTTTTTGTGCTCCTTTCTGCTGAGTTGAGAACTCACGAGGCGGGACATGTTCTTAATACATGTGAAATGTCCAATATCATCCTGCTCATTCTGCAGGTATAGGAGATTCACATGCTTATCCCTCTTTTGACTAGTGAGCTGTATCGGCAGGATTGTAAGATTTTTCTCAATGCAGTACACATTAATTGAAATGCCATTGAGATTTTCAAACTTCTTGATACTGTTTAATTTGACCGGAAATTCGATGTCGTGAAAATTTAGCACCGTCGTGTAGTGTGGATATGAATATGTGCGATTCACATGATTGTTAGCCGGATAAAGAGCAGCAACCACTGACCACGCGAGGCATGCATTGTCCGTTGCTTGCACGTGAATCACAGCTTTTTTCCGTTTAATAAAATCCGGCACTATAATCTTACATCCTGCCCGCAGTGGATTGTATTTGTTTATATTTACATGGAGATTGAGGATGCGTGACAGTGCCCACCCACTATCACGTTCCTGGAACTCTTCGAGTTTCGTTAAGGTAGGCTCGATAACGTGAGACTCATACAATTGCTGTAAATCTGTTGTATTGAAGAGTTCATGGTTGCGTGTATTTACGCTTTTATTCTCACGCTTGTCTTTTACTACGAATTCACCATTGAATATTGTGTTTACCTTAACACAATTGTGTTGTTCAATAGTGTTCCGTAAATGTTGGAGCACCGTATCACGAGCGTTCTCCAGAAATTTGCGCGGCTCTATATGACTCACATTGTTCACCACACCGGTTAACACGCGGTTTTTAAACGCGGCGTCGATCTCACGCCACGAAAGTTGCGTGGAAGGATCAATACTCGCGTAATCACCGCCGACAACAGCACTTGTATAATCACCGCCGCCAGAATGTTCTGTGGAAGGTCCTGCACGTGCAAACTCACTGTCACCATTGTCAAAATGTCTCGTGGTAGGTTCTGCACTTGTATAATCGAAATGTATGAAGCGTCTTTCCATGCATATCAGTAGGATAGCTAGGATGGTCCCAGCTCATGGTCGCTCTAACTCAGGGTTAGTGGGGGGTGCGGGGTACACAGATCTGCCGGGAGGGGAGCCCCCACCCCACA